AAGAGATCCATTAAAACTAAAATGAGAATTTAGTTAGTTATTGACAGAATCACTCTGGGGGGGAGCAGGAAGCTAAATGGCTTGCTGCAAAATGAAATTGCGGAAACTAGAGAGTCAATCAAAACACTGCCTTAGGTCACCTCATCTGTCCTCCAGCCAAAGCAGGGCTGTTGCTGAGCATCTCTGCCCCAAGATCTCTCCAACTGAGTTGATGTTTTTGGTGTCAGAAACCCATTCATAACACAGATGATGATTTTACTGTCTCCTAAATTTTCTGTTACAAAGTTTTACAAACATCCATACAAACATCAATATCTAAACAGCTTTGTCACTGCAAGGTATGCCCATCCTATGCTACTTTCCACACTCCTGTCATGCCAGCCACATAGTTGCAATGATTCTCCTGAATTTTCACACTGCCTGGGTGGTTATTTGACAATATGCATGAACTAGCTCCTAGCACATTCCCCACTCCTCTTTCCGTACTCACCAAGAACAAGGCTTGCACTCAAACTGCTGGTTCTGTCCTAAAAAAAAGACAATATGCTTTAAAATTAGAAAAGGAATTGATCTAGTTCCCAGGTACTGTAATCTCTTTGTTGGCTACAGTTTATGTAACCGTAAGAAAATGCCAACAAATCTATCACACCCATAAAATAATCAGCTGCAGATACACCCATCTGGGACAAACCACAAAACTTAGAGCAAGCACCTCAATTTGCCAGTTGATGGATGCCAGCTTGGCCATCCCACTGAGGACAAAACAAGAGCAGCTCCAGAGCTGAAACCAAGAGCTCTCTACAGCTTCAATCAGAGCGCCACAACACTCCAGCTCAAGCAGTGACCAATACCTACCACCTGTAGTTGGGGCTGGGAAGACAGGAAGCACACAGCATAGATCTGCCAACAGAGGAAAGCTCTTTCACAGTAAGGTGACAAACAGAGGTCGTTTGCTTGCAGACACCCTTCTCCCACTGCCCCATTCTCACCTTCCCTCCCCATGCCTGTTTGGTACTGTTCAGTTCCTCCCTGAAGAGCCACCTTCAGCCATCCACCTCTTGCTTCAGGAACTTCAGCTGCCTTGCCAGATCCCAACTCCAGGCTACAGAAATCACTGTCCTCTCATAGCTCACCTCTGGAGCAAAGAAGAAAATTAAGCTTAAAATTCAGCAAGTCTGGCCCAGCTCTGGCTCTTCCCAGTTCCCCTCATCTCATCAGTCTTTGGGTCCCTCTGTACATGAGGTTGGGTGACACGCAACATCCCAAGGCAGCTTAAATCTCTTTCTGCAACAGTTTTGGGCAATTTAATGCAGTGCATGGCAAATACGTGATGCTGATAAAGCCAATTTGCAAAGATGCAACGTCTGGCTTTACTAAGAAGCCAATCATTGGCATCATACTCAGTTTCATTAAGAACAGGACTAAAATATAAGAAAACTCTACAGAGTATGACCCTGAGACCACCTTGCCCTGAATCTCCCTTCAGAAACTGGACACTAGTAAGAAATTAGGAAAAGAGTAAAAGACTTGAGGAAATATTTTGTGCTGTCTTCCTGGGATATTCTCTTCAATTTCAGTAACTGGCATTTCGGGGATTTCTTGAATCACAGTAAACACGTTCATTGCATTTAGGTCTTTGCAGGACAAGAAAAGGGCCCCTTAGCTCATCTGTACTTTTTCACAGCAAACATTTATCTACTGAGTGATTTTCAGCTTTTGGTCTCTTTTTATGTGCCTATATTTCAGTTGCTCCAAGGCAAAGTTTCACCTGAATAATAGTGTAGATTTCTGAGGTACATTTTTAATCCACCTCGTGTTATAGTATAATATAACTTGAAAATGCTAGCACGCATTGTCACAAATCTTTCTAAATCCAACAAATGTAATAATTTTTGGAAAAAAACACCCAAAATGAGCATAAATAGCAATGCATATTTGTAAAGATACATACATATGGAAAGATGAAAACAGAATATAAGATTGTATTACTTAAATACAAAATTCCTGGCCATGGGTTCCTTGCTTGTTCTCATCAATTTCCGTATCAATATTTCCCAGAACAATTCCCAGCCTACACTTTCAAATTATCGCTTCATATCCAGTGCCTTCTATCCCAGGCTAACAAAATCACTGCTATAAAACTTCTCCTTTTACAGCCAAGATGGGAAACCCTCTATTAGATTATCCGTTCCCTCCCTTGTAAAATAAAGAGGAAAACACCATTCCAGGAAATAAAAATGTTTAAAAATATCAACCAAAGGCAACGCCTGCATGCGCTGTTGTTCTTCCCCTTTGAGTCAATAATAAAGAGGAAGGAAAGAAAAAACACAGATAAAATAAATGCAAGGAGGAGATGTGGATGCAGCATGTTTATCTCACTTAAGGAGGGAAAGCTGTAAAATGCCATCCATTGCATACGGACACCCCAACACTGCCTTAGTGTTTACAAACACTTCAAGCAAACCAAACAGGGAGTTTCATTGTCCCCACTGCACTCATGTCACCCTCTCCCCAGCTCTGCGATTCCAGGGAGAGCCCTGCCAGAGGACACACAGTGCCAGTTACACAAGAGAAGCGCAGAAGCAAATATGCAGCAGAGGGGGGGAAAAAAATTAAAAATATCAGCTCAGCTGCACACTCTCTTCCTACTCTCAGAACAGCCTCCAAGTGGGCTTTGGGGTGGATCAACTTTAAAGGGCACTGAGAAACGCTGACAGATTTGAGGCCAGCATACATTTCCCTGCCACCACTGCAAAATGGGATATCTGGGGTCCACCAGCAACTGCAGGAGTAATGTAGTAATAAAAGGGGGTAAAACCTTCTGATGTTACGTACTAACAAAAAAATATCCAGTATATTACTCTACTATCTTAGCATTGTTCAAGTAAAGATCTGAACTGCACCTCACAAACAGCAAGGAACAGGGAAAAAAACAAAAAGGCACACTAAAATGAAGCTCTGCTGGACCACAGAGTTTTTACAAAGTTTAAAATACAAGCATTTCTTGTATATATAATAAAAATGAAAAAGGTCAGAGTAGCAGTTTGGAAGTTGAAATATACCATCAGGCTGTCCAATCGACAATTTTTAAGACACAAACTCATTATGTGACTTGGAAAAGAAATCTAGACCAATTGCAAACAGCTAGGATTGAGAGAGCCAGTTGGATTCAAATCTCCCCCATTTCCCTGAAAGAGGGGAGGCATAAAGGTGTCAAAACACCGAAGCCACACGACAGCACACACCAGCGCCCCCAAAACCATCCTAAAATGTACCCCGTACTTATTTTATCCCCAAGAGCCCCGGGTCTCTCAGACTTAGCAGGGCTTAGCGATAGCAATTCAAAATCCATCTGATTTTCCGCTGTTATCCAGCGCAGGAGACAAACAAGACGGCTCCCCGCCGGTGCCTCCGGTTCGGGACCGCGCAGCTTCGGGGTGCCCGGAGCATTCCGGAGTTGCGGGAGTTTCCCGGGGGCTGCCACCGGGCCCGAAAGGCAGCGGGGGTCACTCATCTCCCATGGATGACCCTATTTAGGGGGCTAGGGGTCTTTCCCCTTCCTTCTTCCCCGTTCCTCCTTTTCCAGCAGAGCCAGGGACAGACAGCGCAGCCCCGCTCGGCAGCGCTGCTCCCCGCTGGGGAACACACAGTGCGGGGAAGCGCAGAGGGAGACAGAGGCCTGGCGGGGAGGGGGTAAAAGGAGAAGGAAAAACACACACAAAAAAGAAAAGAGGAGCGCAGAACTAACCTGGTTTGGGATTTTTCCTCCCTATCCACAAACATGAAACGAGGTGGGAGCCAGGAGCCGGTCACCGGCGATGGCAGAAGCGGCAGCCCGGGGCCGCCCCGCGGCGGGGATAGCTGGGCTGGGCGCGCTGCAGTCCCCGCACTCCCGTGGTAGGTGCTGACCCCGGGGATGGGCGCACGGCAGCCCGCTCCCTCTGGGATAGGTGCTAGCCACCCACCCGGCGCAGGGCAGCTCTCCGGGATGGGCGCAGCGGGCTTAGGCGCAAGGCAGTTCCGCTCGGGAATGGGTGCTCGCTCCCCGAGCAGCGCAGCCCCTTGGGATGGTGCCGAGCCACCCTCGGGCCAGGATCCCCGGGACAGGAGCAGCGGGGCTCGGCTCAAATCAGCCCTCTCCGGGGATAAGGGCAGGGCCACCCACGGTGCTGTGCAGGGCAGCCCCCCCCCGGGCGGTGCAAGGGCAGAGCAGCGCACCCCGGGCGGTGCAGGAGTAAGAGCAGGGCGGCCCCAATCGGGAATGTAGCGGGAGCGGGTCCTCCCCGCCGTGTCCAGCGGAGGCGGCACCGGCGGAGCACAATGAGCGGCGGCGCGCGGCGCGCCCCCGCGGCCCCGCTGGGCAATGACATCACCCCAGAGCCCGCCGGGGCGGGGCCACCGGCCGCCATGCCGCCTAACCATTGGCTGGTGCCCTCGGAGCGCAGGGACTTTCGGGGCCTGTAGTTTCTCTGGAGGAACCATAGCACGGTCACATAAATAGCGGGGACTCGATTTCCCGGCAGGCCCCGCGCCGCGCGGCCGCGGTGGGGAGCGGGAGGGGTGGGGAAGGAGGTTGTGGCGGCCGCCATGTTGATGGCGTGGAACGCTTTTGGCTCGGGAGGAGCGGCCAGGGAGCCGGGTTAAGATGTCGGAAAAGGGCGGAGGGTGGGAGCTAGGTCTTGGTTTGAGAGACAAGCAAGAGCTTGTGTGCGAGGGGGTGAGGAAGAAGGGGAGGCTGAGGAGTGGCTGGAGGGGCGCGGTGGTGGGCCCTGAAGGACATGGCTGGGTGTCTCTCCGTGCCCGCCGGTTCTGGGTGGGGCGGTGCCTCTCCATGGCGGGAGAGGGTAGGGGTTAGGGGGTCTGTCCCAGGACTCGGCGGGGTCTGTACGCCCTGATAGCGGGCCCTGTGCCAGGCGGGCTGCGGTGGGTGTGCGGCGGGAGTGGGCGGGGGTCGCGGTGAGGCTGCTGCGGGTCACGGCCGGGGGGGGGGTGGGGGGGGGGGGGGGGGAGTCTGCTCTGTGTGGCGCAGGAGCCGGGGCGACTGCGGTGGCTTTCGGGGCTGTGCCCCTTGAGCTGTCCGGGGAGAGGGGTCCGTGCGGGGCTGACCAGCCGTGGGACCAAGTACGGGCTGAGGCTTAAAGAGTAGCGCTGGCCTTGGTGGGGGAGGCCGTCAAAAGGGAACAGGCTGGGTCATGCCCTTGTGGCATACCAGGTGACAGGCTGCGTTTGCTGTTTTGAGGCTTTTTTTCAGGGTTGTAGCTTCTGTCTGATAATTGCACTAGTGGTGGGTGGTTGTCACAAACATAGGGCTTAGTGTAACCAGCAGGAGGAGCTTTGTTTCCTCCTAGAGGCAGCTGCCCTCAGTATGTCTGGAAAAGGGTAGGATTAGATTAGATATAAGGAAGACATTTTTTATTTCAAGGATGGTGATGCATAGAAACAGACTGCCTGGAGAAGTTGTGGCTGCCTCATCCCAAGGCCAGGCTGGATGGGGCTCTGAGCAACCTGGCCTAGTGGAAGGTGCCCCTGCCCACAGCAGGGGGGTTGCAATTAGGTGGTCTTTAAGGTCCCTTCCAACCCAAACCTATGACTCTGTGTCCATAGAGTCGTAAATCAGCCTTGAAGAAGCTGAGAGAATGGATGATATGGTGTAAGGCATCTCAGCAGTTCACCTAACTTGCTTGCCCACTATCTTAGCTGTGCTTGCTGTCTAGTGTTGGCGTGGCTTAGCCAGATGACTAGGTGCTGTCTTAGTTTCAGCATACCCTCTGGCTGGCATCTAGGAGCTAGGCTAGAATTTTGACCAGCGGGTTTTAGACTTTATTGTACTGAATGTCATCCCTGCTTTTGCTAGGCTTTTGTGTTGGGGGTTGGGAAATGATCTGCTCACCAAAAGAGAGAGTAATCAAAGCTCTCTTAGGCTTAAGGGGACTGGAGTTCCCTGAAACGATGTATAGAAGACCTTTAATGTAAACTCGAAGGGAGGATGCTCAAGGTATTGCATGGCTTGTGAAATAATACCCTTTCTAGCTACAGGTGGTTCCTGTGAAATAAAGCACTTTATTATCTCAAGAAGGTACTCAATTGAAAGGAGTTGTGAAGAGTTTTACAGGCTTGCTTGATGTGTTAGCTAAAGTCCAGTAGTGGTACAGCTCAGGACAAATGGGGCTGTGGGGTTTATTTCATACTTTGGCTCCTTTTGGAGGTAAGTAGGATGTATTTGCTCAGGATATTGCCTCACAATAACTACACAAATAGTGTGTTCGTCCCAGGAGACACTCAAGGGGGGGAGGGAGGATGTCGTGAGATATTCTGTGATGCATTTGTTTCACCTGAATATTGCAGCCTTTCAAAATCAGCTGGTATTACAGCAATGTGTGCCATTCTTCTCTGGCTTTATATGCAGCTCTATCCAGCTAAAGAATCAGAACCAGTTGCTTGCCATCCTGTAAAAAGTCCAGTGTCCTGTAAGTGCTTCTCCTCGTGTCCAAGTTGTCCCATTTTGCCATATTCATGAGTAAAGAAAAAGAGAGGGTGGAACGCTCTGTGGCTGCTGTACCTTTCATTATTAGTTCCATACATCTGAAGAATTCTGGATTACAAGTACAGCCCTTTTTATTTCTTTTCTACTTCTTTTTCTTCTATTTGCGGATACCTTTAGATTAGGTGAACTGTGGGTGAAATAAAGGGGCAGTGGCATGATGACTTCACAGTTACAACAGTTGTCCACAGTAGACTTTAGCCCTATGCTTTTATCTGCGCAGCTGGTACCTGGTGCTGATGGTAAGTATTGCAGTGGAATTCTAGGGTAGGCTAGATTGTCTTTTCTATAACTGGCAGCAGAAGCGTATGTGAAATCTGCATCCAGGATGATCTGCTGGTCTAATGACAGTATGTTTTGTTACTTAAACTGGTTTAGAAACAATTGGTTTTACCTGCAGTGGTTTCCCTCTCTCCCTCCCCATCCCACTGGAGTCAGTGCTGCTGCTCTGAGGAGATTGCAGTGCACCTCACTTTGCAGATAGTTTTTCTTCATTGTTTTTACCATTGTTTATACCTTATTTCTTTATCTGTAGATGCCCTGATGTCTCAGCAGGGAATTGCTATATGATATCAAAATGTAGGAAAAAGGAAATGACTTCAGAATCTACCCAAGTGAATGCCTGATACAAGAGACAAGTAAAACAGTTTTCTCTGTGTGTGTAGTTCACTTCAATCAGTTTGGGGGTGTCTGCTACTTGTTAGTGTATGGATTTTACTCATTGATGACAACTTGTTAGAACTGTTAATGACAAAACCTGTTTTCTGTGTGTCAAACTCTGATAGTATGTCCACCTGAAAGCGCTAATGCACAAGTCTCTCCTGACCGAACAGAGATCTTGCTTCTTGCAAGATCCACAAGAAGCTTACAGTCCTATTGCAGAAATAAGCATTTTCTTGGCGTTTCATATGAAAATATACAAGATGGTGATAGAATTGAAAGCCTGCCTTCGGCTTTTCTCAAACACAAGGGTATGTTCTACTTTAATGCTGTTAGTGGAAACTTACTCTGGTGTGTGTCTGGTCCTCAGCCTATGAAGCTGATATGTTTGTCTGTACTTGAACTACTATGCTGACATCCTACACTGCAAAAACTATGGATTTTCTTTGCTACTGAAGTGATTTTTGTCACTGTGGACTCAGGTAAGCAACCACCCAGTTTCCTGAAGACCTAGAGAAAGAGTTGGAAGATCCTGCAGGAGGTGTGAGGAAGATGAGGATAAGTAGGAATGTGTGATGACTTAAAGAAGAAATTGCTTAATCAAAGTTTAATTTAAGTTCATATGTAGAAACCTGTCTTTGTGTCTCAGCTTTCATTCTGACAAGTTTCCTCTAAATGAAAACATCAAGGATTTGGATGCTCTAAATTGAGCAGTCACTGGATGCTGTACTAAGCCAGCTCTGCAGTCCGCATGAGATACACAGATTTCGAGATGAAGTGTACAAATAGATTATTACATAATTTTTAAGGTGTCCGGTGTTATAATGCCACAGTGTCAACATCCATGGCAGCGCAGCACAGAGAACTGGCAGGGTGTTGGGGTTGTCTTGGTTCTTGCAAACTCACTGTCAGGCCTAACATAATTCCTGGTATGCACATTAGCATTAGTGGAGTATAGTTTGTAAGGATGATTGATACCTTACAAGAGTACGTCTGTACTACTCTTGGAATGTGAGTTTTGTTTTAAAATCCGATTTTCTCAACTATCCCAACTATAAAACTTGGTTGTCTACAGTCCCAACTGCTTATTTCAAAGCCTCTGGTGGAAGGGTGTTAACTCTTGCACATCAAAGTTTCTGCTCAGATGATGGAGGATGAAGAAGCTGCAATGAAGTTTGGTTGGTTGCAATTGTCTTCCATGGAGCTGTTTCCCAAAAAGTTACTGGAGCTGCAAAGTGAAAGGTGAGAGGGTGAATTTAGCTGGGTAGAATAGGTAAGTATTTCTATATCATGTTACTATTTCCAAGTATATTAATTATAGCACAGAAGAATACGTTGTGTTGTCTTGGTTCTTTGACAGGGAGAGGTTGGAAAAACAGGAAAGAGTGGAAGGCTTCTGTACCTTTTTTAAATGTTTTTAATGAAATTGTGGGGAGGAAGCTGTTAAACCAGTATCTGGAAGAGCCTAGTATTCTTGCATAGCAAAAGGAGTCGGTAAAGCTGCTCTGGAAATAATTCTAGTGACTAATTATGAAGTGTAACCTTTTTTTGTGTGTGTGTCTTTCAGCACAAGAAGAGTGCTCTAAGAGCAGTCAAGAACCTTTTCAGTTAGCATGAACATGTTCTTCAACCAAAACATGGCAGCAGTTCAGTAGCAGTTACACAACAGGAAAGGGTGTGCGGGCTACTGTGAGTCCCTGGGTTCATAAGATGTGGTATCTGAAAGAACTCACTAGAGAGAAGAATGTGGTTTTTTCCACAGCTTCTATCTTGAGTTGAAAAGAAAGCTAATAGTGAAACAGGAAATTGATTTTATTGTAGATACTGGAGATGGTCATTACAATATGCAGGACTTCAAAGTGTTAGGACACTGAAAAACTGGAGGTAGTTTGAGTACAAGAGACTCCAGGGCTCCAGTTGTGGGAAGTTCCGTCTTCGGAAGGCACACTAACAGTGGGGAAAACTTGCTAAACACATGGAGACTCAAAACGTTCTGTGGCTGTCTCTTAGCTACACATGGATATATCTCTTAAGGTGGGATGGTGTGACATGACCACTGAAGACCATAGGGCTGTAAGCAGACCACATTTCTCTTATCAGCATGTGTGCCACTACCCAGTTCAGAAGCACTCCAAAAGCTTCAGGTTTTGTCACATAATAGTATTTCCTGGAACAATAGCTTTTCTTGGTCCACCTCACTCCTGCAAAGCCAGCTGGCTCATGGCAGCACTGTGGTGAAGATACGCCTTCCACACCCATGAGTTGCTGAAGTCTTGCACAGAAAATGACTCAGACAGGCTCCAGAGCTGAGCATAAATCTTTTGGCTCACACTGTTGTAGCTTTAAGATACATGAGTGCTTCCATGTGGAACAAGAAACACTTGGGCTGCGTGTTTAGATGTACTTTGTGTGTGCACTGCCCTCTCCAGCACAAAGCTTGATCAAACCCTGTATTGCATAAAGCAGGTGGAGGTATCATGCTGAGATTGTGCTTGGGGTGGACCTCATTCAGTTGCCACTGATCATGGAAAAGTCTGTTTTTGTTGTGTAGGGGTAAACCTGAGTTGGTAACCAATACTGCTCAGCTGATGTGTGCGTCTGTGCCAGAAGAGCAGTTCATGAGCTGACAAATCTTTGACCATGGTACTAGCTGTTAATCCTTTCAAAATAATAAAAAGGAGGGGGGGGTGAGAGGCAGCAGAGGATTTTTTTAAGGGTCACATAAGTTCTACTGAAATTAAAAGCTCACTAAAAATATCTTTGTGGAAAGAATACATTTTAGGAAATGATGATTCCTGTGATGAGAGCGATGTGAGCCTTTAGTTATGGCAAGCCTCCAATGCTGTTCCTTGTCCCTGTTTTTGTGATGTGTGGGTAAAAAAGTGTTGGACACAGAGTGAAAGCCATAACCAGAGGTTAAAATTTAATTTTAGCAACCATAGTTTTAAGTCAAATGATGCACCATTGTTTATGTTCTTAGAAAATCCTGCAACTAAATTGATAGGCTGGAGTCTCTGATTATACATGCAAGTGTTCTCGGGTTCTCCAGCTATTTGGGTGCAGTGGTGCAGAATTTTATGTTGCTTCCTGTATGATTCAGCTTAAAATACTAGCTTGGGCAAGTGAGTACCTAAACAACAGTATTGCAGTCAGAACACTCCTTAGTGCACACAAACCATTTCCTTTGGGTAAGTAATGCTGTGCTGTGAAAAAGCACACAACTTCTGAGACAGCAGCATTTGATAGTGTCTATACCAGAATTCCCTAGGTTTGCTCTTTTCCTTGGTCTCTTTACCCAAACTTTTAGCTTTTCTGTACATTATCACTACTTGACTCTTTTCTACCACCTCATTCTTTTGGGGGTTATTTTTGCTATTTCTTTTGCAAGTGCCTCTTCCTGAAAAACTGGCTACCACAGTGAGTATCACAGTTCCTGGGCAAGTTTCCGCTCACATGGTTTCACTTGCTCTATTTTGTTATTTACATGCAGTGTCCTAAGGATATAATTTAGTGGACTGCTAATCTTCACATCTTGGCTTGCAGTCTGCATAGGTCAGGTTTGCACAAGCCTCCTGCTTCATGAATTCAATGGCTGCTCTTTCAGTCTTTGGTTTCCTGATGCACAATTTTATGGGAAAAAAAAAGTGTTGCACTGCTCTTGCAGCAATTTAGGGACTGGCACGCTAGGGTTGGTCACTTTACCTGCTGAGTTGTGTGACACAGAATTGCTGCTGAACCTTGTTCTGCATGCACAAGACCTAGGGCTTGCAAGGTGAGAAGGATATGTTCTTTAATAGGTTGTGACATGCTGCAGGACAGGAGAGGTTTTTCTAAACCAGCATAGGGGTGTGAAGCTGATGACTTAAGCTACCTTGCTCAAGGCAGTCATACCCTCAGGTTCTGGTTTCATGCATATCAGCCCTTTTTTTTCCAGTAGGGCCTCTTTGGGCATGCTTTCCCAGGAGGTGTATTACTTGAGCTCTTGAAAAATACAGTTGCATGATGCAGAGGCTGTGGTGGTGTTGCTAGAGTAAGGAGTTGGTGTTACCTTCTGCGCCTTGCCTTCCCATACTGCAGTACGCTGTTCCCTTTCATGCCAGTGCAACTACCTGGAGCAGCACAGTGAGCTGCTGGGGTGTTCACACACAGTCCCTGTGTATGCTTTTGTGTGGGTCATGGTAGAAGTGGAGGAGGTTTGCAGTACTGCAGCTTTTTAAAACCTGAATCGGGTTTGTGAGCTGGTTTAGAGCATTTGCAACACAGCACAAAAACCAGGTGGCCAGGTGTATGGCAGAAGCCAGATGTCCTTGGGCTTGTTGTTGAAGCCTCTTCTCATTAAATTGTGCATCTAAGGATGCATTTTAGTTTGTGGGGGAGAAGCAGGAGGATTTCCCTTGTACACATGGGCGCTTTTATTGACTGTGTTTCTGTGTTAGGTCTCGTGACACAGCCTTTTTGTGGTTTTGCTGCATGTAACCTGACCAGGCAACAGCAGCTCAAGAAACCCTGCTGTCTGTAAGCAGGACTAGTGATAGCTCAATGTAGTCGACACAAATCCCAGCGTGAACAGAGAGCTGGAGTAAGATGTGGAACAGTTTTAAGTTTGGGGGGTTTTTTTCTTACCAAGAGTACCAATATGTTTTCCCCTTATGGAACTAATTCTTACATTCGGGGAGTTGTATGTTACCCCTGCACACATAGCCAAATATAATTTTATATTTAATGGCAGAGTAGGTCTGCAGAAGAGAGAATTCGGTATTAAAATGTTCCATGTGTAATAGGTGAAAAGCTAATCCCAGTTTCCTCCTGCTACCAATGAAATTGGCTGCTCTGCTGTAAACTCTTACTCTGCTGATATGATTTACTGCTCCATTGTGATAATGGTGAATGTTGCTCTCTGGTGAGAACAATGTGGTGGCAGCTGTTTCAGAGTGATGAGCAGCGGCTTCGCTGTACATGCTCTGCTTTAGCCGATGTCAGCTAAAACAGCAGTTGCATCCCCTAAGAGTTAGATTGTTGCTGTTGTTAACCTTTGTAGAGAAACATGTGAAATACAGGCAGGTGCAATCCTCAGGTGAATTGGCAAGAGGGTGTTGCACAGCCAGGTGAGTACTGTGTCTCACCAGGGATGAATGGCAGGGATGAGCTTTACTAGCTCATATCACTGAGGTCCATTTGGCCTCTTTCAAATTCCTGCCCACTGAAAGCTCCTCTGACCTCCAGGGTGGATTGTGACTGGAGAAACTGCTGTCCCAGTGCTGCATCCTGGAAAAAAGGAGGTGATGAAATGGAGTTTTAGTAGGCCCAATGAAAATACATGGATTTTCTTTTCATTATAAATAATATATTTATACAGTAATTTATAAGTATTTTTGTAGTGTAAATACATTTATAAATACATATCTGGAAATATGTGCATATATGTATATAAAAGGTATATATTTAAATACACTTGTATACATTATTTTATAATAATTTGTAATTTAACACTTCATAAGATACAGATGAGTCAGTTGGGAGAATCATGGAAAAGTAGAGTAGCTTTGTCTTGCTGACAGACTCCTGGGATAGAGAAGCTGTTCCCTCTTGAGCACAAATCAAACATGAATGTCTGGTCCCCAACAAATACAGTTTGTGTTAATTATTTTATGAAAAATGTCCAATCACGTCTGTCTTTTAAGCTCTCATCCTTGAGAAGGTTATTTGGTATTGGATTAACCTTGTCATGAGTATTGAGGCATGTGACATGCTTCGCCATGGAACCAGGTATGTGTGGGGTCTCTCACAAGTTTCTGTCAACACTTGAGTGCTGTGGCTCTCTAGGATGGATAACATTGCTGCCATTCATTCTGAGTGGCATTGCAGCTTCATTTACATGGGTTTGATGGTATCTCAGGTATCCCAGCCCTTTGCTATAGGCAGTTCTCTATTATCTGAAGGTAAGTTTAGGTACAAATCACGTCAGCCAAGATGCTGGGTTTGGAAGATACTGGGTTTGGAAGATGCCTGCTTCATTCTGTGATATGAGTACCACTCTTGGGTACTGTCAGTGTACCAGTTGTATTCCTCCCAAAGGAAATGTGCGCCCTGAACTTTCCCTCTGCTATGGTAGTACTTTATGTGTGCAGTTTCCAGGTAACGTTCACGTCTGTGCAATGCAAAGGGATGGCTACTCCAGTCTTCCTTGAATTTACTGCTCTGCAGTCAGTGACAGCAGGAAAAGCAAAGCATTATTTTGTTCACGTCCACCATTGACAAATGGCATTTGGTTTTTGTCATCATTTTGTTTCTATCTAGGTGTGTGCCGGCACACAGGTTTTCCATGCTTCCATTTTTTTTTCTTTTTCTATCTCCTTGTCACCTACATGTAGTACATCACACTCAGCGTTTAGTGTGTGAGAAGCCCTAGGATAATTATCATTTTGAAGGTGGTGGTTCTGCAGAATTCCAGCTATTGCATCCCATTATTATTAAGAAGAAAAAAAACTTGGAGGAAAGAGCCCTGCTTTCCTCTTGAATCTTGGGGTGGTGGGGGGAGGGAGAGGGAACAGATTAATAACACTTAAAAAGTAGACAAAAAGTGCTTTTCATGTGCTGAGTTTCATATTTTTAACCTTTGCATTTTAAAATTTCAAAGTAGCACTTTCCATTTCCTAAACTGATGACACCTGAGGAAAAACAGATCTCTACAGCCAATTGCCTCAAATACTGCAAAGACACAAGTGACATTTTGCAAATGCCCTGTAAGTGCAGACCCAGTGTATTGCTGGGAACCAACCTGTCACAGCTAAAATGCAATAATGCAAAAAGCCATCAGCAGGCTGAGCAAACCCAGCCCTTCTTACATGTTACTTCTACAGTGTTCTGTCTAAAAACTATTATCCCTCAGAAAACTAGCTGACACATTTTAACGAGGAGAATCAAAGTGCCTCTGTAGGGTTCCCCTAATTTTAATACATTCATAATCATAGAAAGATTATATTGGAAGCCATCTGTAGATAAATGTAACTTCCTGAGACAGGTTAAACTACTGAGCCATTTTCATATAGCCCATTTGTGACATCATCGGATATGTTCACATTTCTGAGGCCAAAATAAAAGGTGGCTTTGTGTTATTTATTTAGAAGACACTAAAAATCATAAAAGGAGCCCTGATTTTAGATAAAGTGAGTGCATGCAAGTGGTTACACAAGTCAGTTTTCAGGCAGGGTTTGTAGTTTCTTAGCTCACCAGTTTTATCTACAGAGCAGCAAAGAGAACGCGGATTGTGTTAGCAATCTTCTCCCCTGTGGCAGACGCTCGTAGGCCATAGCTGTAAGCTGGAACTTGGGCTGGATGCAGCTGTGAGGGGAGTGAGGGAATGGCAGAACCCATAACACTAATGGGCACAGAGACGGCGTCCCTCGGCCTTCTATCTCCCCAGCTCCCCACCAGTCAGATCACACCTCTGAAGTCTTCAGTGTAGCCAAATAATACGTGGTGCTGCAAAATGCACGTCAGAGATGTTGATCTCTGCTGGCTCTGACACTGGAGAGGCAGCTGTAGCTGCTGGCCCGCTGTGCTGGTGAGTCTCCGCCAGCAGAGGGTGGCTTTAAGACCGTTTATGTATTGCTTTAATGTTTAAACACAGTATAGGCTGAATATTGAGCATGATGACCTTACTGCTTCCTTTATTTCCTAATACTTCATCTTTAATAATTGTAAGAAGAATCTAGAAAAGATTTTTCTCATTTTTTCTGTTGTGTTTGTTTGTTTGTTTGTTTGTTTGTTTCCTTCCTCTGGCGTCATTCTTCCAGATAAGAATAACCAAAAATAACTAAATTTAGGAAGACAGGTTTGAAATAATGTTGGTGATGATTTAGAACTACTTTAGCCTAGGACCAAAGTACTTGAAATAAATAATTGAATAAGTTTTCGGTTTTCTAGCATTTATTAGGGATTGAAATATAAACCACTAACAGTGAATGGAAGTCATCTCGCTGAACTTCAGACACCCAGCAGGTGCCTGGTCTCAGTGTGGGCTTTCCTTGCACTCTGCAGAGAGAACTGCACACATATCAAGATTGATTTCAACACCTCTTATCCTAATTCAAGAGTCTTAAGTTTACAGAACACAAGCTAGCAGAAGCCTGATCCCAAACAGTATTTGTGCCTGTATTATTATCACGTGGAGTCACACTATGTGCGACAGTTAATGACTAGGTAGTTAATTATGGGAGTAACTTATGTAGGAGTGGGCTCAATTCTTGCGCCTGTGTTGCAGGGAGGCAAATTTGTCTCTTGAGATGTCTTTTCCTTTCTGTTGACTACAGAGGGAGCAGAGGTTAGAATAGCTCAACATTAGACATCTGACCTACACATCTAGCTGAGGTACATCTCACCTGCTGTGCCTGCAGGCTGCTGCTACTACCATTGGGTAATACTCTGCCTCATCTTTGAAGGTCTGTAGACACTTAATAGATTTTATGGATCTGATTTCACATCCAAGGGAATAAAGTGTGACAGTTAAAGCCATGTAATTAGTAGATAGTCATTAATTTTTCTGAAATCAGTGGAATTCCCCATGGGACCAATTGCACATGTATAAGTTGTTAATAAGTTGTTAAGTCCTCATCTGCAGGGATTAAGCTTTATGAACCTGTTTCCAAAGTCACATGCAAGAAGTGTGATGTATTTAAAGACAGAGAAATGCCTCAACAATTATTAAGGGATTAGAGGAAAAGGTTCAGGAGGATAAGAGAAGGTTATTGCAAACACAAGGGTGTATGCATGACACCATCATACTCTGTGGCTCTTCCAGAAGTTTCCAGTCTACAACAGACTGTAGAGAGCCTTTTGCAGGATTTAATGTGCCCAGTACTTGTGCTCTGCTTAAGGTTAATAACATGGAAAATCTTGTGATTCCTTGCTGTAATGACCTGTTTGTATACAGATAGGCTTTCAACTTATGGAAATGACCCATGATTTATGAAATAGCCTCTTCCTGTTTGCAACGATGCAGTGTAATATTGAGTCATCTCTAACCTTTTACCCTTCCCTGTACAAGCTCTTTGTTGTTTGTGACCTGGCCCTTGAGATTTGGATTGATGATACCAGACAGCAGTTTTTACTTGAAGTAGTCCCAGTTTCACCAGCTTTGGATGCATTATTGCACTTTCCTAGGAAAAAGGTTTGATCCACATCACTGCTGATTTGAATTATAACAAATTGCTAAAAAATTAGCTGTGTGTAGTTTGGGTTGAAATAATGAATTCTTGATTTTAGGGATTAATTGCATTTCCTATATGCACCTAATTCTCCTTCCATAGAGTAATGAGTCCAGGGGCCAAGAAGTTCTGGATTCAGATGGAAAGTACATACTGCAGTGCTCCACCAGATTATATTTCCCTGTCTTTTGGAGAGAGCCCCTAATGCCAGTGAAATCTCAGCAGTATGACACCTGACCCTTCAAGGGATGAAATAGAGTAAGTGAAAACATAAGATCTTTCATCAGGTTTGCACAGTTGGGTATTTTATCCTTTCTCTACAGCATATAGCAGGGGCTTAGGTAAAGCAGGCTGGATGGTCCTTCTAATTCACGGGGGGTTAGTTTAGTTTGACTCTGAAAACACAATATCTTGGCTGAAGAGCTGCATTTCTGGTGGCTGTGCAGTGTGCTGGGTGTCCTGCCAAATAGCTGGGGACTGCGGCGCTATGTTGTTAATTCCTTTCTGCCAGTGAGACATTCCTGTTCATCTGTTGGACAGTGTCATAAGTCACTTATTGGTCTTGCCTGTCGCTGGACATAGCTGATACGGTGTGAACTCAGGTATAGTGTGTATGCGAGTAGCCATCGTGCCTTCCTAGAACCAACTTAATTTAGCTATTATCCTGTAAAGAAAGAGGAAAGAAGGTTGAATAAGCCAAATTACATTGGTGGGGTAAAAGAGCCAACACTTTTCCAGATTTGAAATGCAATGACTTTAGATATTGACAACTGACAGTTGCTTCATCAAGGCACAGAATTTTTCAAAGTATTTGACAAGGAAAATACAGATGCAACATGATGAATTTTCTTGTGGAACATTTTAATGGATATGCTCAGCTTTCCCAGTGGGATCTTACTTTCTTAGAGCAGAGATTAGTCACCAGTTACTTGATTTGTCTAAACTTTCTGCCAAAATCAACAAGGAAGGAATTGACAGGATGGACTTTAGAAACAAGGACATTGTGACATGTTTGAAGAGAACGCATGCTTAGAGGAGGGTCTACTTCTGTTTCAAAAAGCAGCTTCTTATCAGCAAAACAACCTCTACTCTTTCCTGTATGTGTCTTGTCTCTTCCTTGCAGCAATGCTGAGAAGATGTTTCATCTTGTGGGAAGCCAAGGGAAAGCGATTTACTAAAGGCAGAACGACTTTGCACATGCTATTGCAACTCCAGTCATTCGATTGAATTCAGCTAAGACAAGCACTAAAACCAGCTCTGACTGTAAGGATTTGAAGTCTTAGCAGTTACTACAGGGTCTGTTCTTCTACTGAATCAACACATCCTGCAGCTTCTATGACAAAGGGAAGAAGTACATACTGGTACAGCAGCACAGGAAAATACTACCCTGCTCTGTGGTCATGGGTGACATAGGGAAAGACATGTCAGTCTCCCAAGGCAAGTCAATAGTGCAAAACTTCAGTCGTTGAAAAATGCCATTTTTTAATACACAAAAATCAAACTTTGCAGCGGAGATGTGGGGCAGTGCACAGAGCAGTTGTATCTTTCAGAAATCTAACTGAACACAAGTAGCCAGGAGTCCAAGTACTAACTTAAACCAGCAATGATACCACTTCTCTCTCCGTTCTTCTCCTCACTCTTCCCTGAAACACTACAACCAAAACTGACAGCACACCACATCTTCCCAAGCCTCAATATTCACTCACACATAGAGGAGAACATGGGAGGCTTTTTAAAATCCCTGTGACAACTGGTACTAGAAAACTGTTTAACTACTAGTGGAATGTCCTCTCATAAAATGCCAAACAGTCTTGTGTTTTTCAGGTCAAAAGCTAACAAGATGAACTGTGAGCTCTTATTAGTTTTCTGTTCGTCCACAGTAAAAATATGGAGTGCTTTAAAAATGTGGAGAACATGACAGTGATTGACAACAAAAGAAGGCATATAAGGAGATACTGTGCTGAAGAAATTTTAATTATTTTAATTATTTTTGTAAAACAAAATTCATACTGATAGAGGTTCTTGCATTTGCAGTGTCAGCCAGGAGCCAGAGCTGTTTTCTCAACCAAGACCCTTACACGCTCTGCCTTACACCCTTATGAAAGAACACCTAATTTGGTAAAATCCCAGAGTGACTTTAAGGAGAGAGAGCCTAAGAAATTAAACAGCTGCTTGAACCACTTATGTTTTAACTTTTTCTCAGTGAAAGCATGTCTTAATTTTAGTGTATCCAGTGCATGTGTGAAGCTGTTTCCATCATTTTTATTATTGGAGTTCATATGAGTTTTATAACAGCTGGTAGCTGATATCTGATCTGACATAAAGTAACAATGACACAGAGAGCGGTAGTTGTAATCACATTAAATGTGTCAATAAGAAATTAGCAAAATTTTAAAGAAATTTTAACTGACAGCATGAGTGAAAGCTGATCTAGACCTTGGGTAGTGGGTTATGGTCTGATACTAAGGGCCCTAATATTGGATTTATTGTATCATTAAGCCATGGTCAGAGAGGAGGAGAGTGAACTGTCTTTTACAGTTTTTAAAAACAAAAGCACCCTGACACTGCTACATTCCTCAGTGAAAAAGCCAGTGCTATTTGAAAATTGCTGTTGGAGATGATTCAACCATCATCTGTCTACATGTTAAATCTTCAAAATACTCTGTGTAACTGCACAGAGATGGCAAAGAAAAACATAAAACATGTACTAACGTGGAGATTAAAGATATCACACAACCATTTGTTTAACTGCATTTGTTGAACTGAGCGTGGGTACAGTTCTTGTCTGCTTGGATCATCTAGCTGGCCAAAGACCAAAATATACACTTAATATTCCACAGTCACCTATGCCCAGTAATGACAGAGTCCTCCAGTGACATGTTAACTGTGTCAATGAAATATTAGCTAAATAGTAGCTGGGTTTTTCAGATTATAAGAAAACTAGACCTTCATTACATTCCAAGATAAGCTTAAAAAAAATTACTTTTTTCATTATGTGATCCGGTTATCTGCTGTGGTAACTTGGTGACCAGATAATCTGAATCTGCTAATTTATTGATTTAACTGAAAATGGAGCCTAAATCATATAAAATATAGGTCATTGCTTTGTTTTTAATCGGTCTGGTGAAATTTTAAGCAAATTAGGCAAATGTGCTTTGTGAGATTCATGCCTGTGCATTCACCCTTCTTATGCAACCCACACATGGGACACAAGATGTATTTACTTCATCAGACCACAACCTGGGTCACAATCTGTGAGGGCATACAGCTCTGGGGTGGAATCACCAGCCTCTTGCATCCATCTCCAAAGTGACTGCCTACACCCTGTACATTACACAGGCTCTAGCATCCCCAATAAAGTGACCACAATAGATACTTATCTTCCAATACTGAGAATGTAGCTGTTTATAGATTACAAATATGCTTATGGGCTATGGATTTGTAAGCATGCCTTCATTTACCTGCATAAGTCAACACAAGACATAAAGTTGCCAAATATATTCACCTCTAATGAACATCTACCTAGATACACAGCAGATTTGAAACAGGACAAAAGGAAGCAATTACAGAGCATCCAACCAACTGCTGCAGGGCAAAGCAGCTGCAGCCATAGAGCCTCCTGCAACTTGCAGGGGTAGTACCTGCTCTCTTCATGTTTACTATCTATTGTGTCCCCTGGAACGAGAGAAGCATTTGAAAGAAAGAACCTGCCCTGCAAGGAGTTAATTTAGAAACTTTCTGTTCTGCCTAACTTGAAGTGTTCTCTATAGTTGGGGGGGGGTTTTTTGGTGTTTTTTTGTTTGTTTTAAGTATTCCTTTATGTTTAACAAAAGCTGATTTCTAAAGTTAAGAGCTTTGTGTTTTGCAACAATTGTTTTGAGGGAAAACTGGAAGTAAGTCCACTTCAAAGATCTGCTGACTCAGCTGTTAATATAAATGTTTATTACTTCTGAAATGAGGATGTGCCTGCCTTTAGGTGTCTTGCAGGATTATAATGTGAATTCCTTAGTTAATTACTGAAGATGCTGTTCCCCTGCCCTATGCTCAGTGCACTGATTTGCACGCTTAGAAGACAAAAGCAAATTGCAGAACACAGAGATTTGAACGTAAACCCATTGCTAAACTTTGGCCTGGCAGCATCAAGTTGTTCTTCTGATCATTCACATTTACAGAAGGTGAGTACAGAGGTAAGGAGCAATAAATGGGCAAGGCAAAGGAGGACTCTAAAGCACCTCAGCAGAGCTAACCTGTTGGGCTAATTAGTCAGTGTGATTTTCACCCTTTTAAATGCTTGTATCGTTGCACAATTTGCAGCATGGAGCCCTTTCTAACAGGTGCAGAGCTTCAACAAAGCATATTTGCTGCTCCTCTACCTGTTCATGAGCTAGTGCATGCATTTTGCAGTGTTTCACATAATGTGGGTGAAACAAATAGGTACCTTTATACTTCCTTATTCCTGTGATGGAAGCAGCAAGGGGGAAAAGGCAAAAGAAGAAGCCAGAATTTCTGCTATCAGGAAGAAAATGCAGATAGAGCGAATCTAAAAAGATTTTATTTGAGCAACCTATTAATGTGCCTGCTTGCTTCTGAGTTCTGCTGCAGCTTACCAGCTCATCAATACATATATATTCTGCTTATCTGCTGTATTTACTTGGTGACTGGTTAATTTAAACCTGCAAATTTATTGACTTAACCGAAATTGCAGCCTAAATCATATAAAATACAAAGGATACATATATATATTTGGATTATCATGGGTCAGTTTTATTATGGGGCTAGATTCTCTCTCCTTTCACAGCATTGAATTTCTCAGCATTAGACACAGAAATACATGACTTTTACTCTTTGTCTATGTATGTTTAAAAGTATGTCAAGATACCCAAACATGGTATTGTCATATATAAAGCCAGCTCAAAGCAAGAACTGGCTGTGACCAGGCCAGTAACATGTCCCAATTCTATCTCACTTGGCACATCTCCAAATTCTGATTCTCACAGTATATCCCAACATACCAGCTGCTCCCAGTGTAAAGAGAACAGTTTATTAGTTCATTATGGATTGTTTATGATCGACAATACTTACTGTATGTACATTTTGAACTAACACAGTGCTGCAAGCAGACAGGGATATTGGGCAGCTATATGTTCCTATACCATGCAGATAAACTGTAGTTGGAGCTATTTTCCCACTAGCAACTCAGGCAAATGGATTGTAAAAGCACTTGGGTATTAGCCTAGGACTTTTATGATGGTTGTGGAAAAGAACATTCTGAATACTTCTGTAATCATTCCCATTTAGGTCAGCCAGTGAGTTGTTTTACTGTAGTGTTTATGGAGTCCTCAAAAAGATTGAACTTAGTTTGGCATTTACTGAGGGAAAGGCAAGGGCTTTAGGCACCACCAGTATGGAAGAAGTCATCATGCTCATATCACTTTGTCTTGCAGCTTGGGGAACAGGCTGTCAGGCACAGATCTGCTGTAGGGCACCTCTTTCAAGGCCGCATTCTCTGTCCCTTCCATGTCCCCCACACCAGCGTGCCACTATTGTACTGATGTGATTGATGAGCAGGGTCTACTCAGACTATCGATGAAAGAAGTGCTGATTCATGAGGACCTTGTGCAGGACCCCTTGGGCAGGGTCTGCAGGGGTGCCATGGCTTTACGTGGCCCTTCACACCCACCCTCAGCCACTTCCCACCTCCTCAAAACTTTTGCAGCACAGCCAAGAGAGCTTTTCTCTTCAGTATACTGAAGTAATTACTATAACAAAAATAGGATTTTTTTCCAGGAACAGTAGGTAAAGGCACATATATGCAACTGTGAAGCCTTGGAGATCTTCTGGAGATGGATGCAGGCAGGGCATTCCAGCTTGGAAGTCCCCAAGAGCAGCATAACAAGTATAATCATTATGTCCTTCTACTTATTCTGGCCTTGTATAAGATGAAGCTGTGTGTCATACTTAATATTAAATGGACTGAAAAGGTCACTTGGTTTCTCTTTAATTCTTTTAATCTTCTTATAAGATACAAAATAGGCTTAAGTCAAAAACTGTTCCTTAATGTAAAGGGTTGAGGGGGGTTGTTGCTCACTTGGCGTTTTGTGATGATGACAGCTGTCCCTTAGAAAGATTGGGTTTGCCAAGCACTGATACTACTCCCCTGAGCAGGTTTATGCCTCCTTGCTCAATATCCATAAAGATTTCTAGGAGACAATAACAATCATAGCAGTAGGAAGAGTCAGAATGTAGTTAAACCTCCCAGCCCACACACAGTAACAGGAAAATCCTGTTTAAAGAATCAGGGAATAGCCTATTCTGGATAACAAGGGGTAATGTGCTGATAATGCTGCAGCCTTCCCACCCTCTATGTGGTTACTCCAGCAGCAGAGTCCAGCCCACTGAGGTTTGACATTTTTTTATATTATTTCATATAGGACAGCTGTACAGGGTGGGATAAGGAGAGAAGGGTTTCTTGAAAGTGCTTCTGTAGTTGAGGTAGCAACAATGTTATTTAATGAACATACAAACTCAGGTCACTGCAAGAATAATTTGTTTTCTGATCCGTGCCTGGGCTTTCTTGTCCAGGCTGAAACCTAGAGAGGGAAGAGATGTGTTGGTAGGGAGATGCATAGCAGTGCAACCCACCCAGCATGGGAGTGGGAAAAGAGAGGGTGTCTGTTTTGCCTCCTACTCAGGGTCCCATGAGTGTTAGTGTTGCTGGAACCACAGCTGTGTTAAGTGAGAGTTAAAACACCATCCTGAGACCGGATTTGCTCTTCTCAAGAGAAATGCTGGAAACCTTTTGCAATACAATACACACAGAAAGATTTTTCACCACAGTACTAAACTGTTGTTGAGCTAGTAGTGTAAGCTGAACCCCAAAATTTGACACTTTCAGGCAATGAGAGGAGATTTTTAGCCAAGAATCACAATATTTCTTCCCAGAAAAATGCCCCAAGGAGCAGTAACCAAACTCAATTCGCAAGCTTCCTTCTAATCTAAACTAAGAGCTAGAAAGAAAGACACACCTTATCTACTGATTTGGGGGAAAACTACTTTACACCTCACTACCAAACCATGCATTTTCTGATGGACAGGGTTCTTCTGATGAAAGAGAATCTGAGCTTTGCTTTTCATTAAAAACAAACAAACAAAAAAGGAAACAAACAAACAAAACAAACAAAAAAAGAAAAACCCCAAACACATGTATATTTCTTAAAATACCTTGTATATTTTTTCCAACATTTCAATTTCTTTGTGGTGTTTTTATTCCCCAGGATAGGTAACAAAGACATTAGCAATTGGCAACATCAATTTATCTGAAAAAAATCTTATCAAACCAATAGAAATCATTGTACGGGTAAGCAGATTCTTGAAGAGGAAAAAAGCACTGAAAATGTCTATTTCAGTAGGGCTTTTGTCTCACATAACAGTCCCATAACCCAAGCAGCTGCAACTTCTACAGGGGTGCAAAACTGGTTGTGTAACTCTCCTCAGAAAATATTTATCAGTGATTCACTATCAGAACAGAGCGATGTGCACCTGCAGGCACCCATCTCAGGTCTGCTTCCATAAAGATATCAGGGAACTGCTCTTCTTCAGAGCTTGTTGTTTATATTCCCTTTCCCCCCCTCCCCAATTGATTTTTACAGTGGTAGTGCAAAGATCAGATGTTTCTCTGTTAGTCAGGTTTGCACGCACTGTGAGCCTGCAGTGGTGCAGGCTATAAATTCATTATGTAAATTGATTCCAGCAATTCTAGTGGATTCATTTAAGGTGTGTTACTTTAATATCATCAATAAGAAGTAGGATTTGAAGGGTTTTGTCTTTGTAACTAACAAATTAAAGGCCAGTCATCTTCAGTTCCTTCACTTTGGAGCAGATAAAAAGTTATTTGTAAGCATTTGGAAAACAACAAGGAAATGAGTAGCAGCTACCATGGATGCACCAGGTAGAAATTATATCTGGTAGAAATCGCAATCAAATTTCTTTCTATGATAGGCTAACAAGACTCATAAGCAAAAAGCTGTAGATATAATTAGATATGTGGACTTCAGTGAAATTTTTGTCTTGTGGTGCATTTTCATAAACAAACTAGCTAAAACCCCTACAGGGTCAGTACAAATCTGGTTTCATATATTTTCACCAAGAAAGGTGGCTACATGTTTTTATCCTAGTATTTTTCAAAGTTTTTCTAACAATGCACATGGTGAAATAGAAAATACATGTGTGGAATTTGCTGATAGTGCAAAACTGGGAAGATTCAAAATAAACTTGACAAGCAGAGCAACATTTTAAGGACTGAAATGCAATGGAGAGCAGCACAAAGTCATGAATACAGGCTGAGAAAGAGCTGGCGAGCAGTTGGTTTTCCTAAAAAGATCAGAACACACCTTGCATCACCTGTCATGCTTTGCAGCTGTTGTCTGTGGCAGAAATATCAGTTGCATGGATATGCCTGGTTTAGGTCTTTACTCTGACGTGGATCCATTTGCTGTCATTGTTTGGAGTGGAAACCACAACCAGAAGTCTAGAGCTTTCCAGTCTCTTTATAGTTTATTCCACAGAACTGGCAGGCTAGAAGTATTTCTAAAAAGGGACCTAGGAAAAGTAGATACATTCTCCCACACCAACTTCAAAACATTTAGGAAGTGGATGCAATGCACAGAAGCATCAAAAACCCCAGAATGTCCTGCAGCCATAGACAGCTGTGATGAGAAAAGGAAAGGCAGGAGGGGCTGTTAATTCAGGCAGCAGCTCTCAGCACAATGATCTGGCATCTACAATCTCCAACACATGCAGGTGACCACTAAAAAAAGACACGACATGTTGTTGTGGTTCAGCCCCAGATGGCAACTAAGCCCCACGCAGCCGCTCTCTTACGTTTCTACCCCAGTGGTAATCCGGAGGGTAAAAGTGAGAAAACTCGTGGGTTGGAATACAGACAGTTTAATAGGTAAAGTAAAAGCTGTGCAGGCAAGCAAATCAAAACAAAGAATTCATTCCCCACTTCCCATGAGCAGGCAGGTGTTCAGCCATTCCCAGGAGAGCAGGGCTCTATCATGCGTAATGGTGACTTGGGAAGACAAATGCCGTCACTCCAAACATCCCCTCCTTCCTTTCTTCTTCTCCCAGCTCCATATGCTGAGCATGACATCATATGATCTGGAATATCCCCTGGGACAGCTGGGGTCAGGTGTCCTGCCTGTGTCCCCTCCCTGTGCACCCCCAGCCCACTTGCTGGTAGGGTGGAGTGAGGAGCAGGAAAGGCCTTGACTCTGCGTAAGCACTACTCAGCAGTAAGGAAACCATGCCTGTGTTACCAGCACTGTTTCCAGTACAAATCCAAAACACGGTCCCATACCAGCCACTTTGAAGAAAATTAACTCTACCCCTGCCCAAACCAGCACACATGTAAGTGCTAAAGGACTTTTTATCAGGCCACACTGTAACAGAAAGAAAAGGTCAGTCCATGATTGAGGCTGGGCTAGCTGCAGTCACATTAAACACTAATACAACCTAAATATTATTTAATTACATGGGATTTATTCACAAAATTCTTGGGCAATTCACTTGCTAAAGGTGAATGAGACCCTGGCTCATCCAAACACTGCTGCAGACTCCCATCTTCCAATATTAATTAACATTTTCCCATACTTATTGACATCCATCCTATTTTTGTTGACATTCATCCCATATTCATTGAAAATAGTTGTAAAAGGGGATGTTGTTGTTGCAGAAGGAAGAATTGAACTCCCAGAACTGAACAGCAGAAGCATAGTCGAGAAGGAGATGGATTAAATACTGGATGGATCGCTTGCACAGGTGGGAAAAGTCAGAGTGAGAAGGGCGTACAACTTGCATGGAGGGAATCCTCTTGAATTTGTATGTAGAAGTATTATAGTAGTTACACCAAGTTTTAATGAGCAGTTCCAGCACCCTGCATAAAAAGAGCCTAAACGTCGTAGGTCCTTCACTGTTATGGTTACCCAGCGGCATCTGTGCCAATGGCTGTCCGTGGGTAGGGACAGCCAGGCAAATCTGAAACACCAGGGAATCCTTTCCAGGTTAATTCTGTGGTGTTACGTGACTGTGTGCTTTATCAGTAAGAAAGCCAGCTGCCTCTTTGGCTGCTGTACTGCACTGAGGGATAACTGGGGGAGTGTGATGTGATGTGATAGGAGCAGGTTTAGTTAAATGAAGAGTCTTTTCCATTATCTCTCTGAAAAACAGTTGACAGTCTTGCTGGTGTTGCCCTTCTCAAAAAAAATTAGGCTCTGAAGCAAAATGTTTCCAAAATATAATATACTTTCTAACATGCCTTTAACTCTCTAGATATTAGTTCTAACTAATCACAGCTGCTTTCCTTTGAGCTGCCAGCTTGCTTGTATGGAAGGCACAGAGAGCTGGCCAGTAAAAATGTGAATTATTTATGTTCCTGCTGAAAGCATGAGTCTTGTCACTACAGCCTTGCTTGATTGAATGGATCTGTAGAGACAGTTTCTGTAGCAACCCAGAACCTTGCCCAGCAAAATGTCATCCAGTCACAGCTAACAGAGAATGGTAATAAATATCTGTCTGGGTAGCTGAGAATGACACAGAAGTGCCAGAATAAAATATTATCTGGGTTTTGAGTCCTCCAGTCTCCTAAGACCCACCAAGATGTCATTTCAGAAGGTGAGCTGGTAGCATGTTAACCCAGGTACCCATAACAATTTAGCTGTGACAACACAAGGTTTCAAAAGATTACACAAGTCTTCATGGGAACTCAGCAAGTCTTTAGAACCAGCAACACTGCTGCAGTCAGGCTCTTACTGGTAACCCAGCTATTTAGAATCAATATAAATAAGGATGTGGTTCACAAAAGTTCACTGTCACATCTTTGGGTGCTATATCCACATACCAAATGCTAGGTTTGATAATACTATCCATAATATTTCTGAGATCTGCCTGAGCTGGTTTAAAAGTAAACCAGCAGAAGAAATGAACCCAACTCAAGAGAGATTT